ATTCTAGCTCTTGTTCTAAAATTGATTTTAAGTTAGCATCTTCTTTTTTTGCTTCTTTTATTTCTTATGATAATGGAGTATTTTCTTCTAGTTTTGACTCTACTTTTTGTGATTTTTCAGAACTCTTTCTTTTTATCTTTTTATTTATTACTTCTTTTATTATTGATTTAGACTTTTTTTTAAATTTGCTTTCAGTTTCACTTTTCTTCTTCTCTTCTAAAAATATTAATTCATATTTGAGTTCTTCAAATACTATATCTAGAATTTCTCTTCCTTCTTCTATAATTATTCTCTTAATAATTCTATACTAGCTTCTAGTTATTATAATTACTTTAGTATTTATATCTGTAATTCTTAAGATATATTTATCTAAATACTTACAGCTTTCTTCTATTCTTTTTATAACTTTTGTTAGTTTTTGAGATTCTTCTTCTTTGAGTATAGCTTTAAGACTAGCTATTTTCTTTAACTTTACTTTTTGTCTCTTCTTTATTAATTCTGAATTATGGTCTTCTTGAATACTATCTTTATATACTATCTTTATATACTATTTTATCTCTTATCTCAACTTATGATATTCAAAAAAATGAACTTATCTTTTTTTATAAATTCCTAGTATCTTTTTCTGCTTGCTTGTGAACTTTCTAGCTATAATCTTAGATAATTCTGCTTTATTGACTTATATATAATATATCTCATTAATACTAATAATATGATTAATTTTTTATATTAGTTTTTATATATTTGTATTACATAAATTGATCTGCAGCTCAGAGTAAATCTGAATTCATAGTTTTTAAAAATAAAATTTTTTATTATAGCTTTTGAGCTAGTGCCTTTAGTTGCTTTTGCTATGAGTATTTGTTTTCTTTACTATTCTAGTACTAAATATATATTTCTTTAGCTTTTTTCTTTTTATTTAGTACTTCAAATACAGTTTCTTATGAGAAATTCTAAGTTTTTCTAGTTTTTACTTTAGCTATAATTTTAGTAAAAATAATCTACAGAGAGAGTGTGGTCTTAGTTTTTTGTATATTTATGATTTTAATTCTATTGATTAATGTTAATAAATTATCTTTATACTCATTAACTGAATGAAATGATTTGAAAAGTATTAAGTAATTAATTAATTATAAATAAGTATTTAGAGATAAGTATTTATGATTTTAATTCTACTAATTAATATTAATAAATCATCTTTATACTTGCACACTATTTGAAGAATATTAGATAATTAATTAATTGTAAATAAGTATTTAGAGTTAAGTATTTATAAATAGGTATTTGTTTTCATAATTTTAATTCCACTAATTAACATTGATAAATCATTTTTATACTCACTAACTAAATAAATAATTTGAAATGTATTAGATAATTAATTAATTGTAAATAAGTTTTTAGAGTTAAGTATTTATAAATAAGTAATTATATTTATAATTTTAATTCTACTAATTGATATTAATAAATTATTTTTATATTCGCATACTATTTAAAAAGAATTAGATAATTAATTAATTATAAATAAGCATCTAAAGTTAAGTATTTATGAATAGGTATTTATATTCATAATTTTAATTCCACTAATTAATGTTAGTAAATTATCTTTATACTTACTAACTAAATAAAATGATTTGAAAGAAATTAGATAATTAATTAATTGTAAATAAGTTTTTAGAGTTCATGAATAAGTATTTATATTCATAATTTTAATTCCACTAATTAACATTGATAAATTATCTTTATACTCATGCACTATTTGAAAGGCATTAGATAATTAATTGTAAATAAGTATTTAGAGTTAAGTATTTATAAATAGGTATTTATGTTAATAAATCATCTTTATGTAAATTTTATTCTTATAATTAAACTCAATATTAATAAATGAGACCACTAGAATTGTGTTAATAGGAAGAATAAATTATTGGTCAATGCATTTATAATAAAATACTTTTATTTCTCATGATTTTTCTCTTATTTGATTATGCTTTATTCACGCAATATAACTAGTAAATATAACAAGTGAATATAGCTATTATTTATTAGTCTATATCGATAATTTGTTTAAACCTAAAGCTGCGATCTATAGTTAAATAGTAATTATTAGTATACCAATTTTTAATTATATGTAGACCAAATCTTAATTTATCATAACACAAGATATAGATACAATAATGATTAGAACTTGAAACATATTTATAAACCTACATAACCCTGACACAAATCATCATTATTAAGATTACACAATTTTTGTAAATATTTCTATTATAAACCATCATACAATAAATATTGTAAAGAGTGCAATATAGAAAGTAAATATTTGTGATAGACATTATCAAAACATTAGTATCGATAGTAAATAATTTACAAATTTCTACATTTTTATATATCTAATTTTTTTGCATACTAATTTTTTCTTATAGCTATCTGATAAGTATAAAAAACATGTCATTAATGAAGTTACAATTCTAAATTTTAGATACATAATTTAACTATGAATCATTAATAATAAACTATAAATTTTAAACTTTCAAGTTTTGAACATTTTTTAAAAGTATACCTGTTCCTGGTTTTAGCGCAACTACGTCACACCAGTATTTAATATCTAACGTTCTCAATGTTCTCAAGAACGTTAAAATATTTTTGAGAATATAATATTTAAAAATTATATTCTCATTTGAGAACATAAAATTTGTAAATTGTATTATAAAATAATTTTTTGAGAACATTAAAAATCTTTCTGAGAACCTAAAATTTAAATTTTATGTTCTCAGAAAACAAAAAAAAATTTTCAGATATTTAACACTGCGTCGCGCAGCTACCTTATTTGGTTTTTAGAAGAGACAAGGTTGTAACTAGAGAGGTTTGAATATAATAGTTAAGATAGGCTTTAGTTCTTGGAGCATATTTAGATTAATTAAATAGAAGACTGGGTTTATGAATAGTAGATATATAATGTTTTTAAATTTGTTAAAATATTTATTACTTTATTACATTTTTTATATATTCATAAACATAATTCTCATATATTTTTTTTCTGACTCATGTACTTTCTTTACTATAAAACTTTTGTTTGCTTGAGTTTTCATAATTCGATATCGTAATAGAGCTATTCAACTTAATTGGTCAGTAATCACGGGTAGATCTATGAAAAATTCGCGTCAGATCCTCAAACATAATTTACAAAAAAAAAAAAAAAAACATCTAAAATTACTCAAAATTAATAAAACCACGGCCATCCATTAAGTAAAAAATAATCCTGGCATAATTTTACCATAGACCCGGTCTATTTTCTAAAAATTTCTTTTTTTTGGAATAAAAAAATTGAAAATTAATTTCCGGATAAAATTATAAAATTTACGTAATGCAAGTGTTACGATATGGGAGAGCATTTAATGAATGTGGACCAATTTAGTCAGAACCGTAATGGGGATTATTTTGCTTAGTGATGGGCATGCGCAGGATCCGCTCGGGATTACGCACACGTAAAATGCGCGTGATTTTTTGGATACCGCGCGTGATTTTTAATATGTTCCCTAATTCAGGCCAGCCGGCCCGCATTAACAAAATTTTAAGAAACCAACAAGGTAATCTCTATTCCGCGCGGGATATTTGGGAAAACCGCGATTTGCCCATCACTAATTTTAGTAATTTATGATTGAGAAAGCAATTATTATAAAGAGAGACTTTATTAATTATATAATTGATTAATAATATAGTAATGAATAATGTAATAAAAATGATGGTTATACAGTCAAACCTCCCTAAGTGCACTTAGAGAGGGTGTGCACTTATAGAGAGCAAAATTTATAGTGCTATTATAAGTTGGGACCAGATTATGCCGTGCACTTAAAAAGAATTTACATAATCCGTGCACTTAGGGAAATGAGGTCTGACTGTACATAAGAATAACGTAATTATTATAAAAAATATGACGTAATTAAGAATGTTCTGAAATAACTGTAACACAGGCCAGTGCCGTGCGGTTCCTAGGATCGATCATTTCCGTGATTCTGTGAAACGCAGAATATCTTCGTCCCTGGATCGCCCTATCACTTCGTTGACAAGCTTCCGCTGTGTTTAATAGACGAACAAAAGGTCAAAAAACTAGTTAGTGAGACCATTGATATTGTCATGTCAATATTCAATAGTTTCATGTTAGTTAAAATGAAAAAACGAAGCATTTTAATAAAGTCATGTAAAAAGAATATTTAAGGAATATGCAAAATTTGTGAATGCTTTAAAAGTAATATTAGAAGACTATAGTGGATGCGGCTATATCAATGAGAATTTTAGGTGATAAAGAAATTAATTGCGACAACTGTGATCTGGTTATAAAACTTTTTCTTCTATAATCGTCCATTTCAATTATTACTTATTCAGAATTAAGGCAAAAGATAAGATTTTTTTTTCTATTGTTATTATAATATGGATTTATTTAAAATTTTAAATTTTTTAAATTTATAACTTTATCCTACATTTAGATAATTAATGCTATTATTTTTATCTTATATAAAATCTATAACTTAAATTGAAAAAAATAATGTTCAAGAAACAAGGGTTAAAAATTTATAATTTTTGTTCTCAAAGCTACATTTTCGAAAGAAATAAAAAACTATCAAAAATAATTTGATTGTAATAAAAAAAATCAATTTTTTTCACGGAAACAATCAGGAGTGTGAAATAATATAAATTTCTCTATTTCATATATCTTTAAGGTCTAATAACTAGGAACCTTATACAGTGTTTTTATGTAATGCAATATTTTTAATTCATATGGGTTTTTAATATTCCTTCTTCGTCTTTACTTTCTTATTCTTTTACTTCAGCCTTCTTGCTGAATCATTAATCGAGATTAATATGCATCATACTTTTCCATAACGGGTCTCGTCGTTCTATTAATGAAAAAAATATATATTAACTTTGATGTACAGTATTTATTACTTCTAAATATTACTAATATTACTTCTAACTATTTATTTATTTCTTAATAATTCTAAATATTACTCACCGATAAGTAAAGGCCAAGGGTCTACATAATTAAGATTGATTGACGGAATAACCGATTGTAACTTCTTACATAATCTTTGATCAAATTGTAACCTCGTATCTTTAGCAATCCTTAATTCTCTAACACATTTTCCATTCTCTCTAGAATAATCGGCAACAACTTCTAATAGAGTATCATCAATCTTTTCGACATCTAAACTTAATATTTTTAATTGAGTTTGACAATCGTCCAACATTCCCGCCATGCTCTCCGGAGCAATATTGTACCGACATTCCAATTGTAAATGTGTCAATGTTGGTGGTAATAATTGTCCAATATGTTTAAGCGGAGCTATACTAGAATTTGGTCCTACGTCACTAAGTGCCAAATGGGTTAAAGTTGATGTGGAAATCCATTCGAGTTGTGATATAGGAGTTGTACGAATTGAGAATGATGTAAGATGTGGAATTTGAGTACTTAAGATTTGAACTAAATCAGAATTTATATAATCTATTGATAATTCTTGTAATGTTTGAGCCGACATCATAATTATTGAGGTACAAGTATTTTGTGATAATCCATCTTTAACACTATTATGATGATCGTGATTTAAGACTAATTTTGTTATACTGAGTTGCCCAGATTTCAATAATGAATCTGAAAGTGTGATATCTTGTTCTTGATGACAGTTCACCAAATATAAAGATTTTAGATTATGACATTTGGCTAATATTTGTAATGAATTTTCATCAAAATAAATCTTTCTAAAATCAGCATGTGTTAATGATTTAATTTGACTAGTAAGAGCCGAAAATATTGAAGCAGATCTTGAAGGATTAAATAACCCGGCCAACGATGAAATCATGCTAAATTGTTCTAAACATTGTTGAGCTTCTATAAGTTTTGGAACTTTTTGGGCCATAGTACCTTCATGATGAGGAGTTAAGACCAATCGATGAATTTGATGAGAATTTTCGATTATGGTTGATAATAAATTTGTTAATTGACCTTGATCTACACTTGAACAATTTATTCTTAATTCTTGAATTCGTGTGACTGCTTTTTGAATTCCAGTAAATGAAGTGCAATCAGTCATGTTATATCGACTTCTTGATTCACAATGTAATAATCTTAGACCATTAGATTTATTAATTAACATTTCAAAGATTAAACTTTCTAATGTAGTGAAATTTGCTTTTTTTCGAAGTCTATAATCAGTATTCTTCGTCCACCATTGTTCAAGAGCATTTTGTAAACTTCCAATATGTAATTCTTTAAAATATGATGGATAATCAAATAATGGTTTAGAGTTTGGTAAAACATGACCTTCAGCTTCTAATGCTTGACGTGCTTCACTAGACAAACATGTTAAATATGTTCGAATCAATAAATGTCCAGTGTCTTGATCATCTGACAAGTTCAGACTTGTAAATGGGTGACTCCAGAGTAAGGCTATCGCATATTGACACCAAGATCGATTAACCAAAGTCCACGAATATAGAGATGATCGGTCTTTATCTAAACTCTTGAGAATTTCTTCAATACAATCAGATGGAAGTATTGGATTATTCACAATTACACTCATTCTTAATGATTTTCGTTTGCTCATGGACATCTTTACTAAATATCTTCAAATAAACGAAAATCTTGTAAGGTTGATTATTCTTTGAGACATATATTGTTGCATTAACGAGTTTTTAATTAGCAAATATCTAAAACCATCT